GGGGGGGGGGGGTTTCCTTGGGGGGGGGGGGGAATGTTGTGGTTTTTGGTGTCGTTGTCAGGAGTGTTGTACTACAAAGTTGTTGTTGCTGCTTTTGCTGCTGTTCTTGATGATGTCGGCACGTTCATGAACATCACGACCACTGATGGAATACCACGCACCGGAGGGTATAAGGGGAAAACTTGGGGGAAAATGTACACACCAAAAGGAATACAAGACACTTGTTTTACACCGTGATTCGGCCCAGCCACACAAAATCCAAGGTCCGAAAGTATATACCTACACAACACGCCCACACACACAAGCGCTCGCTTTGTTTCCAACTCAAAAAAATGCCGACGTCCTTTAGTGCGACAGCCGGTTAGCGCAGAAGTCGATGCCAAACTACACACACACATACAGTTTGGCATAACCCCGAAAAAACAGTTGGAAACAACATCGTCACAGCAGTGGACGAGGCTCAATCTAGAGATAGCCAGGTCGGTCCTCTGTCCAACAACAAGCCTCACCGACTGACCGCGGACAATGGAGCGCGCGTCGACTACCTCGAACCGCCGCGGGGTGTGGAGGTCGGGCCAGTGGCGCGCCTGCCCTTCCGGGGACACCAGCAGCACCTCCCTCTTTCCCCGGCGTGCCTCCCAGGGCTGGCTGACGGCCACAAGGTCAGCGGCTTCGACCGAAACNGGGGGGGGGGGGGCAGAGGGGGTTGAGGTTGCACCAGCCAAGACAAGAGCGACGAAAGGAGGCTGTGCGTGGGCACCTGAGTGGGCGTTGATTTGGCTCCGGGAGGGAGCCGGCCCACGACGGGCATGACTCGGAAGACGTGCACCTCGCCACATTCCAAGGCCGTGCGGCGGGAATGTTTTTCCAACACACCAACCCTCCTAGTACTGGAAAGCCTTTTTGGGGACGATTTGGGGACACTTTGGGACACAGCACTCAAAGGCCTATTTACGGCACTGTAGTCAACCTAGGCTCCGCTGTATGTAACGTACGTGAGAACCCTTGGTCTATCATGCTTTGCTGAGGTGGTACGCTGTACATCGCATGGTACTGGAAAAAAATGCTGACTTGGCTTCAGTATGAAAAGTGTTCCCACGTGTTTTGGGGACACTTTTAATACTGAAGCCAAGTATCCCTTTGTCTGGCAAGGAGCCCAGATTCTTTGGAGGGAAAGTAGACCCTCGACCAATGGCCGACACAACATTTTTTCGGCATTCTTTTTTCCAGAGGGACTGGGATAAGGAGGGTTAACGGTTCGGTCCACCGTGCAAGTGGAGCTCATCGCCGACGTTTCAGCGAGAGTCCGCGCAACGCGTGCACGATGCACTTGAATGTCGCATGACCAAGTAGAGCGTGTACTAACAACAGCGGTCCTTTGCCTGACAAGGAGCAACGCAACCAACGGCAAGGTTGCGTAGGTTCCTCGATGGTGCAGCAAGTCAGCCCCCCCNCCCCCACAAAAAAAAAAAAGAAGCACACACACACAGACACACCACCTCTAATCCTGCAACCGACGGATCTATGCTTCGCAAAATACGTCTTCACGACGGAACACTTCTTCGTGGGGAGCTGATAGCTCCAAGGCCTCGCGCGGTCATCTAGCTTCCACCATCGCCACCAAACCGAGCGCGCCTCGCCCGGAAGCCTTAGACACGCGCATCCCAAGAGTTGCGGACATCCCACTCAACAATTCACAAAAACCGACCGCGATCTTGCCTCCCAACGGTGCCATCAAAGCCAGCTCGTGCATCATGGCAGGGTGTTCGAACCGAAGGCAGACCTGGTCGGCGCGGACCGCCGCCCCCGGCCTCTCCGCGGCCACCATGCCCTGTTCCCAGGCCAGCACGCCCGTGTCCGTGCACATGAAGGCCCACCTGTGATGCCCGCACAAAGAACAACGTCCGAGCAAAATTGCGTGAAACATGCCGCGGGGGATCTCTTTGCTGCCGCTCGAAAGGAAACCGGGGAACTTGGAGCAAAAAAACAATGACCAAGTGGCACGTGGCTATAAACGAACAACGCTCAATGCCACCCCCCGCCATATTCACATCTTGTCGAGAAAAACGTCAAAAGCAGTATACGCAGGATTTGGAAAGAACGCTTGTTTTCGGCGAAGAGGAGAGGCTTCTGCCTTGGCTACCAGACAAGCAGCTCCAACCACCCCGATATACGCGGAGTGGCCGGCAGAGGAGGATGCCTGCGCAGAGAAGGTAATTTGATTACGAAAAATAGGCCAGGCAGGGGGCCCGCAGACCTCAACCCTAACCCCAACGTAGGCGACTGTAACCTTACCCGTATGCTTGCTTACTTCGAAAGATATACCTGTGTAGACCTACTGACAGAAGATTATGCACTTACCCGTGGCTAAGCACCCTCCCAGTGCAGAGGCAGCCCCTACCACCAGAAGTCTCGGCAGTGGCAACGGCGGCGGAGACCATGGCCGGCACGCTCCCTGCCCGAACCACGCAGTGGCTCGCGTTCTCCCCCAGGGCGGCGGCAGGAGCCGCATCATCTACGGGGGCTGGGGAGGAGGCATCCCAGACCCGCCTGGCGCCGCGCAGGCCGACCGCTTTGCCACTGTTGAAACGCTGACGGAAACAGCGGGAGGGGGATCGAGTACGTCTGCCGTGAGAGGATGCAAGCGGCTTCGTGTTGCAGCAGGCGAGCCGATAGACACTCCGAACGTGCGAAAATGGGGGGGCACTCGCCGGCTTCGTCGGCGTGGGAAGGCATCGGGCACGGAAAACACTTGCGCTTAGATTAGAGTTGTGAAGCAACCACTGGCGGTAACATTGCCGTATTGTGCGTCCGGCCGGCGAGTGCGCCGCCGAAAGCTTAAAGTTTACGCCAGGATGAACACGCGAGAAGGCGTCAACAGCGGCAGTTGTTGCGCAACGAGCACGTACAAGGGCCAGCTCGCAAAAGCAGCACCTCGCGAAACCGCCAGCATCTCGGAGACAGCACCAGTACATATGCAGGAATACTAAAAAATAGGTTGATCCGATGTCCGCCCTCCTCACACTTTCGGCAGATCCAGAATGCACACATCAGATACAAATGATATGGGTCGCGGTTACTGGCTTGGCACTGTTGACACAGCGTCCCCCCCCCCGTCGCAACGCCCGGGTTCGCCAACTGCTCCTGTTGGAGGGCTGCATTGCGCTGGTTGAGCACCTTCACCAACATCTGAAATTGGCCTTTCGACATGCCTGCCGGTGGCGTCCCAGCTACCCCTGCCCCGGCCGGCAATCCCTGCCCCGGCTACACGCCCCCGACCTCCCCCGGTCCGACCGGACGGCCCACAGGAGTATAGTGCCCCGCCCCAGCCCCCGGCGCCGTAGCCTGGGCGGTGCTCTGGGTCATCTGCGACCTCGGCTGCCGGGGGGGCGCGCGGCGTACCCCCCAACCCGGCCGCTATCGTTGGGTGGTGCGGCGGCAGTCCGAGAGGGTGGGTGCCGAGGCCAAAAGCCCCGCCGCCGATGGATACGTGGGGAAGCGGGCTAGTCATGGCCGGTCCCGGAAGGGCGTGCGTCACCCCCATAGCGAAAACATTCCAGATACCACTAATAGGTAACTCCGACGTTACTACCGCCGACAACGTCACCGTACGTCTTGTTAATGCACGCCCGTACGGGACCGGCCGTGACTAGTCCGCTTCCCCACGTAGCCATCGGCGGCGGGGCTTTTGGCCTCGGCACCCACCCTCTCGGACTGCCGCCGCACCACCCAACGATAGCGGCCGGGTTGGGGGCTACGCCGCGCGCCCCTCGGCAACCTCACCGGCAGCCGAGGTCGCAGATGTCATCCCAAACTCTGCATCGTCGACAACCATCCCGCAGTAAAACAATGTCGAGATCATGGAACCGCGAAGGGATTCCGCAGACGAGAACAGATTGCCAGCTGAGAGGCTTGGAGAGAGCCCGCACGCGTGACAAGCCTTCGGTAGGAAGCAGCCATCCCACCCGCCCAACGATGTAACTATTTGATTGCCGGGGTAATATTTTCTGCGCGATGGCCGCGTTGACGACACGGAGGACGTCAACGCGGGGGGTAGTAACCCTGGGTTGAGTCTCCAGGCCTTTCTTAGCCGGACGCCTCACTTTATCCCAAACGCTACATCGTCGACAACTATTTTATCCCGCAGGAATGCCGATAACGAGGCCGCCAAAAGGTGTACTGCAATTGTTGTACAACATGTAGGGAAAAAAACATCAGGGGCGAAAAACCCAGTTTCGACGGCTCCGTCCGTGAGCATCCCATGACAAAGCAAAGCAGCTTGCCAGCCTCTTGTATTATTTCATGAGCAACACGCTACCGTGAGCCCGGGGAAAAGGAAACAGGGCATGGTGCACCGCTGCATGTACGTCATAGCATTGTGTCAACCCGCGCTCCACAGTGGAGTAGAACACTGCACACATCGTCGCGTTTCAAACCTCGCGAGAGCCCAACGGCGACGCGCGCTCGCCGCGAGGGCGAACCAAAGCTAGCTGGTCTGTATCTATCTACGCAGCGGCCAGGCCGCGAATACAAACGGGGTAGTTATCGCTTTGGGGCGAGCTCAACCCCTCCAGCTGCAGTTTGCTACATCAGCTACCGCTGTAAGCTTCAGCAGTGGAATAACCTGCCTGCTGCCCTTTTTACCTTTGGCTGCGACGTCCTGGCGTGGAGATCCTCTGTGGCGGGATCGCCGCTGCGGCTTCTCGCCGCGAAGAAACCACCATCGAAAGGCTCCGCTGCTGCGCCAGACGGATCCATCGATGAAGCCCGCACCAACACGCTTCTACCAACAGAGAGGTGTCGGTGTGCGAGCTGCTCCAACAGCAGTAGTCCAACAGCGAGCAGCAAGCAAAGCAGCAAGGCTTGGCGAGAGGGGTCCCGGCAGAGTGGATTACGTAAGGTATAAGGGAAAGAGTTCCATCAGCTGTTCACAAAGGCATGAAGGGGGGGGGTCCCTATTCATGTTTTTCTAACCGAGTCTATCTATGCTCTCGAGCCTGAGAGAGAGTCTACGGCGACTCTTCCGGCCACTTCCGACCCGGGTCGGCCTCTCGACCCCAGGGAAGTACTTCCTACGCGAAATAATCGCCGCAAGGTAATTGTGGCTGGCTCGCCGCTCCCGCCTTCGAATTACTTGTAGTCTAGGTAGTCTATGGTTCTCGGGAGGAATACCTTTCATCATCGCCGCGGATTCCCGCTTGCGACCCCGCCGCCCCCGGGCGGTCTCCGACGACGCTGTGGCCACATCGACGACACCAGTTTTGCCGAGTTTGGTTCCGCCCAATCATACTTGTTTATCACCGAACCCCTACGCACCTCTGGCTCATGGACTGGCTTCCGCGTCTTTCACACAACCAAGTAGGTTGCGCATACAGCATTAGTCTAGACTACTATGATAGATAGACCACATGTAAACAAGAAAAACTACTAATGTATACCTATACAAGTAGCTTCGGTTAGCTCCTGTGTGTGCTGTAATCTTGTGCAGCTACTGCTGTAGCTCTCGATTCTTCGGAGGCTACCCCGAGCTCGGTTACGCTCGCATGGATTCGCCTCCGGCGCAAGTTCCCTCGTCTATTTTAGAGCGGCGTTGCATTTAGCGGCGGAACTGGATTCTGGCGCGTGTGTTGAGCGTTTCTCCCACGCCGATTGTTTGGCTCGCGAGCAACGCAACAAACCTGGGTGTGTGATGCAGCCTTTCGTTTCATCCTGGTAGGTCGGTCTTCGGTCCTTCCTTTGGATTTCACGGATCGTGTTCCCTCCGCTCGCCGATCTTGTCATTTGGGGATCCGTCACCTGTCTGACAAAGGCCGGTTACTACACGTTGACGGTGATGGTTTGTTTTCTTGTTTGTTCGCAGACCGACCACAACTTCGTCTTCCACATCCACGCGTCCTGGTGGACGTGCAGCTCGCCTCCTCAACGATGAATGAGGCCGGATTCATGTTCCGATGCTCAGTAGTCCATGGACCATGCAAGTAGCCATGATGAAGCGTCGTATCCATTCAGGAATCATAATAGCTGTTTCTTTCCTCGGACCAATGCGCACTGGTGGCGAGTAGCAGAACATTCGGCAGCGACTGCAGCACCCAGTGTTCGACCCGCCGCGCATGCTGCTGTCACTACGCCTGCTTGTTGTTGTTGTATTGGTTCCAGTCTCGTGACATGGCAGGGAGTAGCCGCGAAGAGGGTCCAATTCCACGTAGCATCACGGTCCACCGTGCCCAAGGACAAACACTTGACCGTACTTGCTTGGACCTCACGCTGGATCCTTTCGCGCACGGTCATTTGTACGTCGGTCTTTCCCGAGTGCGTAGGTCGAATGACATGATTATTTTGACTACCCAGGGCATAATTAATCGTGATGGGTACGCCACCGTCAACGTTGTTTCCAATTCGTTGCCACCTAGTATACAGCACGCCTAGACCACGTCATATTTCGTGGGGAACACCGTACTTGTTGCGTTCATGTCGAGGACACGTGGCAAAACCCACTGTCTCTCCCGTGTTGTTTTTAAATTGGGTTTGCTTGAGTGGCAAGGATTGACACGCTGGATTCTTTCGCGCACGGTCATGTGTTGGTCGAACCTTTCCCGAGGGCGTAGGTCGAATCGTATGATTATTTTGACAAGGACTCAATTAGTCGTGATGAGTCGCCAACGTGACCAACGTCGTCTTCAACTCGCTGATACCTATAGAGCACGCCTGGACCACGCCATATTTCGTGGGGGGATACTGTACTTGCGTTCATGTCGAAGACACGTAGCAAAGCTCACCCGCGTGTGTCTTCGTGATGTTTTTTTTATTGGTTTTGGTTGCATGACAAGGGTTGGCACGCTGGATCCTTGAGCGCACGGTCGTTTGTACGTCAACTTTGCCGAGTGCGTAGGTCAAATGGGATGATTATTTTGACTACACAGGACACAATCAATCGTGATGGGTACGACACGGTCAACAACGCTGTTTTCAAAGTCGCTGCTAGGTTTCGTTTCATGGCCAAAGTTTCATACATGTCGTCAGTCTCATCTATTTTCCAGTCCTTGTGCCGACTTTCGCCCGTCCATAGTTTCTGTCCTATTTTTTGTATCGGGTGTCGTACATGTATGTGTCACCGTTTTTATTCCGGTCGCTCGTAACGTTTTGCCCCATGCATGGTTTCCTATCTTTTCTCTCTGGCCCTACCGCGCCTCTCGCTGTTAAATGCTATTTATGTGATCCGGTCGTTATGTCGCATGAATGCTGCGCTCCCTTGGCGTCAATTCCTTCCATGATGTATTCTTCAACAACGCAGTTCACATTGGCCTCGTAGCACCAACATATCCACGTGGCGAACGTACGACCATCGTGAAAACGCTTCCGCCAAGGAAGAACATTTCCGTAGTTTGTGCCTTTTGGTCACCTAAAGGTGCTTTCATGTTTTGGTATGTGACAGCAACGGTGGCTGTTCGCATGTTCATGTTTCACATTTTCTATCATCTGTTGGACAACAGCGCCGCCCATCGTCTAACAAGCGTACTGTTTTGACTTCGTCTTTGGGCCCTGTTTCCAACGAATATTTCCGTATGTAGATCTATGCCTCTTCCATGTTACGTCGGGAAATTGTTTTCGTCAATCGACGTACATGTACGTTTCGGGGGGTCATGATGTTCATCCTCGCGGCGTCCTCATTAATTTGTTTTCGCCTTCAATGCTTTCCGGCAGTTTTTCATATCGTATCTCTTCAACGGGGGCCTCTCGTGTTCGATTGGATGGGATTGTTCCGATTTTTTCCGTTCCATGAACATCCGACGTCGTTTCATACCGGAGGGGAATCACCCCTTCGCATATCGTCACATCGCTGTATTTCATGTTGCATTTGCGCGTGTATCGTGCGTCCTGAGTCCAACGGACGACGGCGAAGCGACAGATACCTCACTTGCGCTTCACGTTCGTCATTACCTCATAATACCAACTACATCTTAAACGTTGTTCATCCTTCGTTCCTGTCATTACGTGCACCGCACGCTCTACACCTAACTATTCGGTCACGGCGCAATGACCGTTATCTATGTCCGTCTCAATAGACTATACCATCTTTCGCCGTTACCAACCTCCCCATATCCGGAGGTTGTTTCCATAGCTTCTCTCCTTGCCTTCATCATCACCCGCGACCGACCTACTTTTCTTTTACATCAGCCTCTTCCAACCATCTCCCAATACACTCCCCCTTCCGCGAAACCCACGCTTTCTCCACCTCATCTCCTCATGTCTTCGTCTACCTTGCCATTGTGCCCCCCCCGCCCACCCCCCCGGTGTTTGCCATCGGGGTTGGGTTTTCGTCGCTTGGCAACGACGTTGTAAAACAAGCCGCCCCCCC